GGAGAGCCGGCGCAGCATTCGCTCGCGGGACAAGTCGCGCAGCTGCGAGAGGCGAGGCGCGTCGCTGTGCGAAGCGGGCGGCTCGCTCGGCGGGCCATCGTGCGCTGGCGAGAGCAAGGGCGGCCCAACGACCCGGTAGAGGCGGCCGGCCACTGGCGGCACCTCCGGCGCCGCCGCCGCAGCGGCGGCTGGTTGGCGACCCTCCGCTTCAGGCACTTCCCGCACTGCCTGCGCTGCGGGCGAGGCCTGCGCCTCTTGCGCCCCCTGCGCCCCCTGCCAGGCCGGCGCTGCGGCCGGCGCAGCGGCCGACGAGGCGCTGCGGCGGTGCGCGCCTCCCCGCAAGAAGCGAGGAGAGAGGCGCCGCACAAGGGTCGGGGTGGGACGGCGGGGGGGCGTCGCCGCATCGGGCGCGGCTGCCGCTCTGGCGTCCACGCCGGCTGGCTGTTCCGCTGCCTGTGCCGCTGGCCAGGCCGGGCGCGGCAGCGGGAGGGAATCCATCACGCTCGCTGGAGAGGGCTCCGAGGCGACCGGCTCAGCTTCGTCGTCGCTGGAGGCGTCCGAACGGTGGGAGCGCAGGCAGAGCGGGCTCACGCTGGCGCGCGCCTGAGCGAGGAGAGAACGCCGCCGGGGCCGCCCCGTCGGTCGTGGTAGGTCCGGAGAGAGGGAGCGGTCAGCCCGTGCGTCGTCCCCGTCCTCGAGCCAGCGCATCTGCGCTCGCTCGTGCCTGTCCACGCTATCTGCGAACGCGCGCGCCCGATCCGAGGCCTCCATGGTCGGCAGGGTGAACATCGACTCGCCAGACTTTGGCCCCCGCCGGCCGGCGGGTCGGCGCCGAGGAGTTTTTCTTTTTCCACAACTGTCGCCAGCCCTTCGTTTTTCTTCTTTACAGGCCAAGTCGCCAGCGGTGCGAAGCGATAGCGGCCACAAGGCGCGCTGCAGCCGTGTGGGCTCCTGTGTGATGGGTGGGAGCAGCTCAAAGTGCGACCCGCCGGCGCCGTCTCCCCCGCCGCCGACGCCGCAGCCGCCCGCACCGGCGGAGGGGCGGGGAGGCTTTGCGGTGCCGCGCTCGGCGGAGGAGATAGCCAAAGCGAGGCGGGCGCAGCGCGATGCGGAGGCGGCGGCGGCGGCGGCGATCAGCCGTCCCGTGCTCGCCGAGACGGCGCCGCACGAGAGTAACGTGCAGCGCCCCTCCGAGGGCGAGCCCGACGAGTGGCTTGCGGCGGCGGACGGCAGCTTCAGGCTCGTGAGCCCTTGCCGCGGCGGTGGGGCTGGCCCTCGCCTCACCCTGACGCTGGTGCGCGGGGCGGCGGGCGAGCCCTTCGGGCTCGACGTGACTTCGACCAACGTCGTCTCTCGAGTGAGAGAAGGCTCTCCAGCAGCCGCTGCGGGCGTGCGCGTGGCAGACGTCGTCTGCTCTGTCGCCGTGTCTGCAGCGCGCGAGGGGAGCAGCGGCGCGGCTGCAGCAGGGTGGCAGGGCATCGTGGTCGACCTCGGAGGCGCGCGGGTCCCCTCTCCTCCCGCCCGCTCCCCCTGCCCTCGCGTGCACCTGCAGAGCTGACCGCCCACGCACACACGCACGCGCACGCAGGCATGCAACACGCACTCACACCCCGCCCAGTCTCCCCTCCCGCCCATCCGCCCAGGCGACCCTCCCTCGCGGCTGGCCGAGGTGGTTGGCAAGCTCGCCCACGGCGCCGCAACGGACGCCCTCACGCTGACCGTGCTGCGCTGCGCGGAGGCGGAGGGCGGCGATGGCGCGGCCAGAGGCTCTGGCATCGAGACGATATAGCGGGCGGCACGCGCTTGTAGGATGAGGTGGGGGGAGGGGGGGGGGGGGGGGGGGGGGGCCACCCCCCGCCAAAGGCTGCCCCTTCAAGGCCCGGGCCGCCTTTACCCGGGCGCCGGGGTCTGTGTGACGTCGAGAGAGTGTGCGACCCGCGCGCGGGTGGTAAAAGCTAGGTGCCAGGCGGTTGACCGGTGTGTTTTCTCACGCACATGCGTCTGTGTTTTCGAGCCCACGGACGACGCATGACTGTGTTTCCGAGCCCACGGACGCTCTTGGGAGGCGTCCGATGGGGAATTCTCTGCATAAGATATCGCTGCACCTGCAGTCTCTATGAGACCTTGTCAAACTCAATCCACCCCGCCGCCGCGCCTCCCCGGGCACACACCGCAGCAGTGAACATGTGAGTCGAAGAATTGGGCACGACCGAGCCCGCGCCTGCTGCACGCAGCCCCGTATTCGACTGTTGGTAAGTGCACGCTGTTGCGCCTCTCTCTGACTCTCTGTGTGTGTGTGCGGCTCGCTTACTGCCAAAAAAGAAAAAACATGATGGAGACAAACATTCCTGCTGAGTGTTGTCCAGATACAAAATATACCGGAAAGGCTCCACACCGAAACCCCTGCCGCACTTTTTACTGTCGAGTGTCGTCTGCCATAATGCATAAAAGAAAAGTTCAAAACAAAACACTCCTTTGGAGAAAACGAATCCAGGCATAGTGTGTGTAGCACACCGCCGCCAACGACTCCCTGCGACGCCACACTGACAGCTAGACGGAACTCACCAGTCCGATAAGGATCAACTGGAAAGCTGAACCCTGGGCTTAGACAGAACGGGCGTGGCAGGCTCCAGGGGAGGCCACGCTCTACCCGGGGCGCTAAGGAGGGAAATCGAAACTGTTGCGTGTTGGGCGTCCATCGACAAAAAACCCACGATGACACATCGCCAATCCCCCCCCCCCTGAGGACCTAACCTTGGCACGTAGAGCACGGGTCAACTCGGAGAGAGAAAGGGGAGGGATGAGGGGGGGGATAAGGGAGCGCCACACTGAGGGAGTACCCTAGAATTGAGAGAGATCAGGGGAAGCCATTATGGGGGACGGACACCAAGGCACTAACTTCATCACTCATTCGCCCCGCACACCTAGCCTACACTAGTACGCGTTACACGGAGCGCCAAGGGGGAGAGAATGGAGGGGGGAGACTATGCGTGCCCGTTCTTTTAGCTAAAGCAATTTTTTTCTGCATAAGATATCGTGCGTGCACACTTGGCGGGGAGCACTTACCACTTTGCTCTTTGGGGTGCAGGTCGGTAATAAAGCTTAAAGGTCGTAAAGCCGTATGCGGACTGGGTGACGTCCTTAAAATACCTCTACTACCTCACGACTGGGTGAATGTCGCTAAACTACCGGACTGGGTGAATGAACTGCATGGATCCATGGTGCCGACGAAACGGCAGCGACCCGCCTCAAAGCGGTCGACCAACGAGGAGCAAAATGGACCACCCGCCCGCCCTGTCAACCAACGGACCCGAGAACATGGGCGGGCGAGCGAGCGGCACATGGCCTGACAAAGAGAAAGAAAATCGAAGTCTGGCGACGAGATCGAATCTGACGAAAAATTACGACAAGCAGAATGCGGGCGAAAATTTACGACAAGTAAGCTCTGAAAGTGGGGCACTTCAGAAGCAGAGCTGACGTCAGTCTCTGCGCGTCGCCAGTACCTTCTCTCTCTCCTTGTTGAAAACCCACCACCGTCCCCTTGTTCCTCCTATCTGTCTAGTGTGTGCCTGCTGGGGGAGCAAACGGCTTCGTTACGGAGCTGCCCCCAGCAGGCGTCTTGACGGGTATCAAAATTCTTCCTTCCCTACAAAGAGGCCAACGGACCCGAGAACCTCACATCCAGGGCCGGGGAGCTAAGAAGCGCACCCAGCGGGCCAGATGATCGGTATCGGGTTACGCGGGCTAGAGAGCCCTGACCCCTAGGGGGGGTGCGCGTTCGCAGGGTGTGAAAGGGCCGTAAAGTAAACACGGGTCTCCGAGGGTTAGTCTTTGGCCTGTCCGAGGTTTCCGGCAAAACAAAAAGGAAAACACAGCACTTTGCGTTTCCGGAAATTTCCAGGGAAAACAGAGGGTGTTTGGTGATCCATTCGGTTTCTCTCGGAGTTTCCCTTGGGAAACTCGCGAGTTTCCCTGAGTCTGAGAGCTGGTCTGGGGCAAAATCTGAGGCAAAATTGAGGAAATCGGCAAACTATCCGGGTATTTTCCACGCAGGTATGTACATGTGCCATGCAAAAGTTAGTACACCCGCAAAATACCGGTATTTTGCCGATTTTGCTGATTTCGGCCCCAAAATAACTTCAGACTCAGCTCAGAGCCAAAAAATGAGGATTTTAACGGAGTTTTCCCGGGAAAATAGAGAGGAAAACAGAGGGTGTTGTAGAGAAAAAAGGGAGAAGAGGAATGGGGGAGGGGGAAAAGGGTCCGGTTTAAGGGAAAAGGGCGCCGAAAAGGGAAAGGAAAGGAAAACAGACGGGGTGCGAGAGGAAAACCTCGCTCCTCGGACAGCCCAAGTTAGTCTGCGCTTTGGGTTTCCCCTAGCGGCGGAGCGCCCCCTCTACTCGGAAGAAACACCAGACAACGCACACGACGTACATCCTCACTCGACGTCACCCCTCAGGGCCCCTCCGTTCGGCCTCCCCACCCTCGATTCGGAGGGGCTCCTGGCTGCGAAAACATCTTTTGCTGGAACCACATTTCGAGCGGCACCGCATAGCTGGCGACGCCAACGAGGTCGATGAGTATGCTGACGAGCAGCTTGATCAGCCGTTCGTTGTCGGGACCTGGCGACGCGCTGCACCAGACTGTTTGTACGCGTAGCCGTAGGGCCGCAGTCTGCTGGAAAAGGGCTCGCCGCGGCGGCTGCACGAAAGCAGCGGATGCAGCAGCTGGAAAGCGCTGCGCGTGCGTGGCGAGCTCGATGGGCCGTGCGCTTGGCGCAAAGGATGGCGTGAGCGCATGCGCGGTAGAGGTTGAGCAAAGCAGACCAGGGAGGAAGCGGCGCGCCATTCGGCTCGGGCCGCTTGCTTTCTTTCTTTGCAAGCTCTGTTTCTTTCTTTGCTAATTTACAGTCGCTTTCTTGAAGAAAAAGAAAAAAGAAAAAGCGCGCCCAAGCCGATGGCCTCCCACCGCATCGGCGCCCGCCTGTCTGGCCTCTCGCCTGAGCAGCTCGTCGCCTTCATCGACGAGCAGGCGCCCCTCTGGAGCGCCACCGCGCTGCGCGTGGCGGAGGAGCACGCCGCTCGGCTCGCGGAGCAGCCCGAGTGGGTGCTCTCCGAGGTCCTCCTCTCGCCGGACCTCGCCCCGCACATCCTCGCCCAGCTGCCGACCACGGAGCACGCCGTCAAGGGGACGTGCCGCGCGTGGCGCCGCGGCTGGAAGGAGACGCTGAAGAAGCGCAAGAGGCCGCGCATGCTCGTGTTCGGCGGCCAAGACAGCGAGGGTAGGACTGTCAACTCGCTGGAGCGGTACGACCCGTCAACGAACGAGTGGGAGGAGGAGGCTGTGGCGCCGATGCCGACGGTACGACTAGTTGTCGGCACGGCGGTGCTCGATGGCAAGCTGTACGCGGTGGGCGGCGAGAACGACGAGGGCCGCCTCAGCTCGGTGGAGCGGTACGACTTTGCCACGAAAGCGTGGGAGGAGGTGGCGCCGATGGCGGTCGAGCGGTCTACTCCCGCCATGGCGGTGCTCGACGGCAAGCTGTATGCTGTGGGCGGCGTCAACGATGAGGCCGGCGACCTCAGCTCGGTGGAGCGGTACGACCCCGCGACGAACGCGTGGGAGGCGGTGGCGCCGATGGCGTCGGCGCGGGAGGCTCACGGCATGGCGGTGCTCGAGGGCAAGCTGTATGCTGTGGGCGGCTGCAACGATGACGACGGCACCCTCTTCTCTCTCGAGCGGTACGATCCCGCCACGAACGCGTGGGAGGCGGTGGCGCCGATGGCGGAGGTGCGGTTTTATCACGCCGTGGGGGTGCTCGACGGCAAGCTGTATGCTGTTGGAGGCTACAACAACGACGACGGCTACCTCAGCTCGGTGGAGCGGTACGACCCGGCGGCGAATGCGTGGGAGGAGGTGGCGCCGATGGCGACAGCACGGGATGGTCTCGCTGTGGCGGTGCTCGACGGCAAGCTGTATGCTGTTGGAGGCTACAACGACGACGACGGCCGCCTCAGCTCGGTGGAGCGATACGATCCCGTGACGAACGCGTGGGAGGCGGCCGCGCCGTTCACGGCGGCGCGGATTGCTCTTGGCATCACCGTGGTGTAAGTAGGAGGACGCCTCTCGGGCCGCCGGCGGGGTATATAAAACACGAAGTGTGACGGAGTTCGCCGTGACGCGTGACCGTGAGTGCGCGTCTTTACGGCTCTAACTTTATGTTTTTCTTCTGTCTATGCCGTAGCGGTGTTTGACTAATTTAGTATTCCCAGCAGGCGTAGAGCCGTACAGCTCAGAGACACCAGATGTGCAGGTCGCCGGAGCGGTCTCCGGCGACAAGCGTGCCTCCCAGCGCCGCGGCGCACTCGAGGCTGCCCCCCGCGGGGGCATCGAAGCGCGCGAGCGGCGCGGGCGCCTTCTTGTGCGCCGGATCGTCCGCCGGCAGCCTTCGGATGTCAAAGACCATGACCGCGCTGCCCGCCTGTGGACACGTCCTGGACGCGTCATGGACATGTCCGGGTTGGAGGCGAGGGACCGCGCCGCCCGCCGCAGCGAGCAGCGCCGCGGGGTCACCCTCGGCGCCGCAGAGCGCGCGGGTGCCGGGCAGCGGGAGGCGGAGGCACGGTGCGCCTGTGTGTATACGCATCATTGTGTCTTCAAGGCGTCTGGGAGGTGTCTCGGAGGTGTCTGGGAGGTGTCTGGGAGGTGTCTGGGAGGTGTCTCGAAAAGGTCTCCGAAGACGCACCGCTCGAGCGCATGTCCCAGAAGTAGCTCCTACGGGCCCGTGTCGTGGACGTGTCGTGGACGTGTCGTGGACAGCCCGCACCGCCACGGGGTGGGCTCCGGTTGGGCGTGGCGGCGGCGACCAGAGGAGAGTGCCCTTCCGGCGGGCGCAGCTCTGCGAGGCAGCAGGCGCCGTCGGCCTGCTCGCAGGTAGAGGTGTGTACAGACGCCGTTCGCAGCGTCGGCGAGGCAGCAGGCGCCGTCGGCCTTGAAGCCGAGCCGGCAAGCCTAGGGTTTGTGGTTTCGGGTCCGGGTGGGGGTGAGGGTGAGGGTCAGGGTCAGGGTGAGGGTGAGGGTGGGGGTGAGGGTGAGGGTGAGGGTGAGAGTGGGGGTGAGGGTCAGGGTCAGGGCTGTGCCGGCTCGCCTCTGTTAGCCCCGCCTCAAGATCGAGGACCGGCAAGCCGGCTCCTAGCGACACATGTCTCGGGCGTGTCAGGCGCGTGCCCTCGACAGTCCACATCGAGGAGCGGCGAGGGCGGGCTCCCGGGAGGACACGTCCCGCACACACCACCGACCCCAACCCTGACCCTGCCCCCCCCGTCGCGAGGAGGCCGTCCGGTGTCCCTGCGAGGGGCGAGGCCGCCCTCGCCGCCTCTGCGCCGCGCCCGGTCGCGCTAGCGACCCTCCACGCCGCCACCAGCTCCTACGGGGCTGTGTCGTGGACGCGTGTCCTGGGCGAGTCCTCCCCGCCGTCCACCCTGCGCACCGCCACCAGGCTCCTCCGATCCGGAGAGGAGAAGGTCAACGCCGCCGCCGCCCCCTCCCGCCAGAGCGAGCGCGTGCACGCCTCGCCTGTGGCAGTAGGCGAGCGGGCTGCCTGTGTCAACCCACGCACCGTAAGGAACCCTCACTCCCTCATCAGCAGCCGGCGGCAAGCGAACGGGCTGCTTGGATCGCCGCCCAAGCCCAGCCCGCCGACCGCCCTCGCCGCCGCCGCGTGCGCGCGCTCGTCGGCGCCCTCCGTGTTCAGCAGCATCTCCAGCCGCGAGGCGCCGCCAGGCTCGACACGCCTGAGTGATCATCCGTGAGGGGCTCATACATTCGTTGTGGCTCGTCTAGCAGGCCGACAAGGGCGACGCGCCAGAGACGGAGCAGCTGCTGCGGCTCGCCTAGTGCGGAGCCTTCCCTGAGCCTTCCCTGAGCTTTCGTTGTTGAACCTCTCCCTCGCCCAGTGAGCTCTGTCTCCATCTCCGTCTCTCTCGACCTCTCTCTCTCTCCCCTCACACCTGCCCACCCTCCCGTCTGCGTCTCGACCTCTCTCTCTCCCCCCCACACCTGCCCACCCTCCCGCCTGCGTCTCGACCTCTCTCTCTCCCATCACACCTGCCCACCCTCCCGTCTGCGCCGAGACGACGGCGAGTCCTCCTCCGGAGAGCGACACGGGCATCACGTCGTACACCTGCGGCCAGTCTCGGCGTCATCTCGCGGTCACCCCGGAGGGCGACGCGGGCATGATGCATCATCCCGCACACCCAGCGCTCCGCGCCCTCGACAGCGAGCGTCGCCAACGCCGCCGCCGCGTCCGCCGGCGCGCCGGCCGCCTCCTCGCCCGCCTCCTCGCCCACCGCCACCCTCCACACACGCACAGCGCAATCCCACGAGCCAGAGACGGCCAACAGCTGGCCGCGTGCGCCGAGCGAACCGTCCTCGTCGCGCCAGAGCCGCACGCACGAGACCGGCTGCGAGTGGTGTGCCTGCTCAATCGAGGATGCGGCTTGCGACGCCACCCGCTGCTCAGCCGCGAGCCAGGACGGCATCGGCGGCGGCCACCGCGGCTTTGGCGGCGCGGCAGAGGAGGACACGGAGGCTGGCGCTGGCTCTGCCGACCGCGTCGTTCCGCCGGACTCAAAGTATACTGTCACCGCAGTCTCGGACCACGACTGCATTTCATCGAGAGGAGGCACGTCGTCCGCCATGCACTCGAGCTGTATCTCGGCGATGCGCGCAGGAGTGGGCATGAGTGCGGCTTGAGGTTAGAGGCGTGGATTGGTAGGCGGTTTGGCGTGGTTGGCGTGGTTTCGCGGTGGAGCACCAAGAGCTACGACCACTTCAGCTCCTTCCATCCTCCACCTCGACCGGGCCGACACCTCGAGAGAGTTCCTATCGATGAGTGTCTGACAGTGTCTGACAGACAAACAGAGACCAGTCGCGCGGGCGCTGCAGGGAGGGACACCATCTTGGAGCGCTCATGCTCATGTGCTGAGCGATACCCGCCCGCCGCCGCACCCGCGCGCAAGCCCACTACATCAAGACTGCGAGATAAGCGCTTCGCGCCGTCCCCATCAGCGCCACCGCCTCCCACGCATCCAACGCCGGGTCGTACCGCTCCACCGAGCTGAGGGTGACGCCGTCTTCGTTGTCGCCTCCCACAGCGTACAGCTTGCCGTCGAGCACCGCCACGGCGTGACTATACCGCGCCTCTGCCGTCGGCGCCGCCGCCTCCCACGCATTCGTCGCGGGGTCGTACCGCTCCACCGAGCTGAGGTGCTCGTCGTCGTTGGCGCTGCCACCACCAACAGCGTACAGCTTGCCGTCGAGCACCGCCACTGCGAGACAGTCCCGTGCCGCCGCCATCGGCGCCACCGCCTCCCACGCACCCGCCGCCGGGTCGTACCGCTCGACTGAGCTGATGACGCCGTTGTTGCAGCCTCCCACAGCGTACAGCTTGCCGTCGAGCACCGCCACGGCGTGATTCACGCGTGGCGTTGCCATCGGCGCCACCTCCTCCCACACATCTAGCGCCGGGTCGTACTGCTCCACCGAGGCGAGGTAGCCATCGTCGTACCCGCCGATAGCATAGAGTTTGCCGTCGAGAGCCGCCACGGCGTGACCATCGCGTACCGTCGCCAGCGGCGCCACCGCCTCCCACGACTTCGCAGCCAAATCGTACCGCTCCACCAGGTTGGAAGTTGCGCCGCTGGCCCATCCGCCCGCAGCGTAGAGCTTGCCATCGAGCACCGCCGTGCCGACATACACTCGTGCCGTCGGCATTGGCGCCACAGCCTCCTCCTCCCACTCATTCGTTGACGGGTCGTACCGCTCCAGCGAGTTGACAGTCCTACCCTCGTTGTCTTGGCCGCCGAACACGAGCAGGCGCGGCCTCTTGCGCTTCTTCAGCGTCTCCTTCCAGCCGCGGCGCCACGCGCGGCACGTGCCCTTGGCGGCGTGCGCCGTGGTCGGCAGCTGGGCGAGGATGTGCGGGGCGAGGTCCGGCGAGAGGAGGACCTCGGAGAGCACCCACTCGGGCTGCTCCGCGAGCCGTGCGGCGTGCTCCTCCGCCACGCGCAGCGCGGCGGCGCTCCACAGGGGCGCCTGCTCGTCGATGAAGGCGACGAGCTGCTCTGGCGAGAGGCCAGACAGGCGGGCGCCGATGCGGTGGGAGGCCATCGCCAGCGACCGTTTTTCTTTATACTGTGGTGTACCTGTGTTAGTGCCAGTGCGCGCCAGTCCCGTGCCCAGTGTTGTGCGAGGGAGTTTGGTTGTAAAATTCTTTATACTGCGAGCCGTCTTTTTACCAGGTGTGATCACTGGTTGCCTACTACAGCTAGAGGCCTAGTACGCCTGGACGCCTCGGGGAGCCCCCGTCTCCCCCATTCTACTCGCCAGTCAGCACGCACGGCGCCCACGCCAGGCACCACAGGGCGGCCCTGCTCACAGCGCCTTCATGGAGTACATGCGCAAAAACCACGCCAAGTACGCGAAGGCGTGAGCAAGGAGGCGTCGAGGCTGAGCGGCCCCCTCCCCCCTCCCCCCCTTCAATGGTCCGCGGCGGGCGGCGGCGCACCGGGGTAGTCGCGCCCGTAGTCAGAATTTGTGCTCGTGCCGCCTGTGTGTATGGGCACCTGAGATTGAGGGCCAGACCGCGTCCGCACGCGCGCACGTGGCGCAGTTGCGCGAGTTCGTTCGTTCAGCGCGGCTCGTGGCTGAACTGCGCCGAACGAACGAACTTTTCGCGATGATTTTCTTTTTCCCTAAGTTCGAACGGAGTTCACGAACGTTCGTTCGTTTTCGCAGTTCGCGCCTTCCACAGCCGCGGCAGTCCGTTCAGTTTCGAGGTTCGGGCTGGGCCCCGCCGGCTGCGTTCGTTCGAGTTCGGAGTTCACGAAATCCGCGCGAACTCGAAAGGCTGCTGCGAGCCGTCTTTTTACCGGTTGCAGAGGTGTGTGTTCTTTCTGGCCAGAATGCTGAAATTCTCCCCTACCTACCTACCTACCTACCTACCTACCCTACTTATGGGAAACTAAAAAAGAAATCACTCGATGGGTGAAGGTGGGGTACTATACCAACTAAAGTGATGGCTGGTGGTACTCTCCTGCAACCACAGTCCTTCCTGTGACATGGCAGGCCACTATCAAGCCCTACAAGCACCAGATCACCCACTTCGCACTTGGGGAGGGTTGACGTCGTGATTTTCGCCGAAATTTCTTATTTTGCTGTGAAATTTCCGGCGTGAAGAGAGGGAAAACCCCGACGGGAGCGCCCAGACCTACCCTACCTACCCCGGCATGCTGGCCGCCCCAAAAGCAAAAAGAATACACACCTGGGTTGCAACCCAGTTTCGCACTGTGCTGTGAACGCTGCTGGTTGGCGTCGGTTGCGCAGCACCCCGTCCCCATCCAGGTTGTTGGTGTTGGTTGATGCCCCAGGTCCCGCACCATGTAGGTGCAATGCCCCGTTCTCTGGAACTGGATCATGCTTGTTCGGGTACGTGGTTCGCCCGTCCCTGTGTCCCGTGCACGTCGCCCGTCGGCAAAGCCGACGACCTAGGTGCAATGCACGCCGCTGGTTGTGGGGAGGACGTGCCGCTCGATGCTGCGGGCGGCGTTGACGTTCACAGCCAGTTCACGTATTTGGCCCCAGCTCTTCCGCTCGCCGGTGAGTTGGTTGGTTGCTGGCAGCACCCCAGCACCTGGGGGTCCTGAGAGCTGTTGGTTGCCGCTCGATTCACAGCACAGTGCAAAACTAGGGTTGCAACCTCGTAAAAAGACGGCTCGCTGTACCGTACCAAAGTCTGTGCAGGTGTGAACAGCAGCTCCTGAGCACGGCGCCGCAGGCGCCTGTTGATAGGTCCAGATGATAGCCCTGGATGGGCAATGCATACGCCTACTTGGGCCTCAGATCGCCGGACCGCGTCCCGGTGCTCTGCGTTCGGATTTGTGACGCCGCCGCACCGCGCCGCGGCCGGGGGCCCGCCGGAGGACGAGGATGGCCGTGACGGACCGGGACGAGCTCTAGGAGGTTCAGTGTCAGTGTATATATTGTAGATATTATACCCTTGTGCACAATATCTCTCAATCTAGCTAAGCCAGGGGAGGCGATGCCGGGGCCGTGCATCAGCTTGATGGTGCTTCGCCGGCGTGCGTCCCGGAGCGGTGCCGGACGGGCGGTCCGTGGGAGGAAAACTCAGGACAACGCCGACACCGCTCTGATTCGACTGTTTACTTCAAACAAAGACAGTGGCACGCGCCGCAGCGCGGTGCATGCCACTGTCAGGAGCGGATCCGTCGGTTAGCTGTGTTCACGCCGGGCGTGTCCTGAGTAACCTGCACACACTTTAAGCTCTCTCTCTCTCTCTCTCTCTCTCTCTCTCTCTCTCTCTCTCTCTCTCTCTCTCTCTCTCTCTCTCTCTCTCTCTCTCTCTCTCTCTCTCTCTCTCTCTCTCTCCTCTCTCTCTCTCTCTCTCTCTCTCTCTCTCTCTCTCACTTTAGGCCGCGACAGTACAAAGAAAGCACTGTCCAATCCCCTCTAACGTGGGAATCCTACAATGCATGTTCAGTTTCGCGCGAGATTTTTCTTCTTTTCCGATCTCCGCGAGTGTGCCGTCCTCCCATCCCTCCCTTGGGTTCTCTGTTTTCTTTCTTTCTTTTATCAACACGGACCGGACGGTGTATGGGGCGGCGTCGGCGAGCGCCTCCTCCTTTGTCGTCCACCACACGCAGCAGATCTCCATGGCGGCGGTGGCGGGCGACGCCGTTCGCCGACAACATCAACAAGCAGGCGCGCAAGGAGCGTACCGACTGGATCAAGAACAAGCAAGCGGCAAACGGCCTCTTGTCCTCGGCCCCAGTGGGGGGTGCCCGCGGCCGCGCCGCCTAGTTGTAGTTCCGCGTGGACGGGCCCCTCCACCCTTCACGTACGATTGAGAGAGATTTTTAGCAATTGTGCGATGAGAGTCGGGTCTTGTGGTTTGGCAACATCAGCATACCCTCTTAAAGACTGACTGCGGCTCTTACACTCAAACCGAGTCAGTCTGGCCCCACGCTCTTGCATTACCTCTAAAGCCGTACCTCGCGCTCGCCCCTACGCAAACGACAAGTGCGGGCCCGGCCCTGCTCGCCCGGGCCGGGGCCCTCGCGCTTGAGTCCCTCGGGCTCTCGCCTTCTTGCCCGCGGCCTCCACCAGAGAAGGCAAGCCCCGGAAGGACTTGAGCTCTCTCGCGCGCGTCGTCTTCTCCGGCTGCAGCTCGATGTTCTCGCGGAGCCACGCGTCGAGGTGGGCGTAGAGCCGCACCGCCTCGCGCCGCGCCTCGGAGCCGCTCGAGAGAGGCAGCGGCTCCGCCTCAGCAGGGTCGGCCTGAGTGCACACACACAGGGTCCGTGAGGGATCAGAAAGCAACCTCAACCCCATGTATCGGACCCCCATCCAGGGAGATCGATGCCACAGATGCGGCTACATTGAGGGCAGGGACTCGGCTAGAGGTCACGAGTCGCTGTCGGCTGGGTCGTGCGCGCCGTCAGGTTAAAGAGCAGCCACTTCATCCGCACGCCACCGTGCACCACGACCGCCCCGCCTGGCGCCCAGCGGCTTCCCGCGGGGCGAGGCGCCGTTGCAGGAAGACCCGCCATCGTGGCGGGCCCCGGCGGGGCGTTCTGTGGGATATGGCTGGGCCCCGCCTTCTCCGCCGCCGC